TAGAAGAAGACTCTGGAGATTTAATCTGCTGCATCAACAAGCATTTGATCTTCAGGAGTAGAACCTATGGCTTTAGGCTTTCTGGGAGTGTATCATTTTTTTTGAGTTGGCCTGCTACTAGTGTTAGAGGATTGGATATCCACATCCACTAGTTGCGATGGGTTTTGAATGCTGTCTAATGGGGATGGTTGGTTTACAACAGTGACTATGGGTGCTTGAGGGCTAGGAGTAAGGGGTGATTCTGCAGGGGTCATTTTGACAGAGTTATCACCCATGGAATTACCAATAGCCTCATTGCTCTTGTCAATTTCAGCATTGGTTTCCAGGTTAGGATTAGCCACTGGAGGAAGGGAGTTTTTAGAGTCTTTGACACTAGGTTGGCTAACCAGGGGGGATGGGCTATCATTTTTGTAATCACTGAGAGAACCACTAAAGGTTCTGAGCCAATCCCCGTATTGACCAATGTTAAGCACACTCCTGTTCGCATCATCTCTCTTACTAGAGCAGTTCTTATCACCATGCCCTATTCGCCCACAGTAGTAGCAGAAGTTTTGGATATTCTCATATTTAAACTCCACCCATGTACTATCTGTGCCCAGTTTAAGATGTGTACCTCGAAGCACCGGTTCGTTGAGTTGCAGGTCCACCAGGAGTTTCATCACCTTGCCATTTGAACTGCCATTCCCGGGCACCACCACATCATGAAGTTTACTGAATAGCTTGCCTATCTTGTATCCAGTTTCCAGCCCTATCCAGTGAAGTGGGAGATTGTGAATTTGCACCCACATTTTTATTTTTTCCTCTTCAGGCTTGAAATCAGTCGCATTAGGCTGCCAAGGTTTGAGCAGGAGGTACTGGCCGTCAAATGACCATGATTTCTCATAGAGAATCCTTTCTTTATCATCCGCATTCTGAAATAAGAACTGATACTCATTTTGCCCTAGATTCTTAATTCTGAATGGTTGCTTGGTAATCCAGATGTTTCTCAAAGTTGCGTTGAGCCCGTTGAGTTTGCCCTTTTTTCGCCAAAGATTTTCCCTATAAGGCTGTGTTGACATTCCTGAACAGTCAGATCTACATCATTTTCCAACAACGTGACCCCCGCTCCTTCCTTCTCAGACAGTACAAACTTTCGGAGTTTATCCGTAATATCCTTTTCCATTACCACACAAGATCCGTACAGAGCCGACTGGGAGCACAAGGTAGCTTGGAGGAGACAACAGTTAATCCCTGGAGAAACCTGAAAGAGAAAAGAGAGAGAGAAAAAGAAATAGAAACAAAAAGAGTGACGAGAAGAGGAGAAAATGCAGTTGCAAACCAAGAAAAGGAAGAAATTAAGAGCAGCTGGGAAACCCTAAAATGGAGAAGAAGAACCAATAGCAGAATCCAATAGATGGAACGAGACTCTAGAGAGAGAAAAAATCCAATAGATGGAACTAAAGTTGTGGAAGTTGGTGTTAGAATGTCTAATGTGTTGGGTAGCTGAAAAGGATTCAGATCTTGAAATTTGGAGCGCAACTGGAGCTTTTTTTTTTTTTTTTTNNNNTTTTTTTTTTTTTTTTCAATTCTTATTTCCTTTTGTATGATTCTAGAATGGACTATTCCATGAATTTCAATCATTTTGCTATCTTCACGCATTTCAGATAAAATATTGGTTGGTTTCTTACAGGTCGATGCTGCTGTTCTTCAGTACCAGAACCAAAAACTAGTACAACAGTTAGAAACTCAGAAGCAAGAGTTGCACGATCTTGAGTCCAAAATCAAAGATTTAAAAGAGAAGCAAACGTCATATGATGAAATACTGATAAATGTGAACAAACACTGGAACCAGGTTAGTCATGGCATGCCTTTTTTCTTTTATATCCCTTGTGTAATTGTGTCATGTGCATATCAGGACCATTCTTCCTTAGTTAACTTGTCAACTTCGTGCAGTTGATTGAAGATATAATATTGCTCCAAGGACAAGTGGGGGCCGACCAAAGTGCCCTACAAAGTTTGGACCGCGTTGAATCCTCCCGTGGTAATACTTGGGTTTGCTGTCTGAAATCTGAATATGAAAAGAATCACACACTCAAGCACACACACACACACACACACATGCATAGTAAAGATACTGACTTTAGGTTAGCCTCTATTCCGTCATGTCCGCCGGAGGATATATTTCTCTGTAGGTTACTAGAAACTGATGCTAATCAAAGAAACCAAAATGGCGAGTCAATTGGTTTTATCAAAGACGTTCTTTCATCTCGTCAAACATCAACTAAGCAGCTGATGAAATTACTGGAAGATGCTATTGATTTTCAGAGAGCTAAATTTGAGGACATAGCTCGGATTTTGCTGGAGAAACCATCTGCAGAAGGTTATTCAGTTCTTGGCAAGAATGCTGATAATATATCTTTTGTTCATTTTTTGTTAATTGGTGCAATATATGTTCGGCTGCTTGAACGTTACGGATTTTTAGTGTATTGGATTTGATATTGGTTGATGAATTTCTGTTATGATTGGTCTCTTCAGATGCTGTTGTCCAAATGTGTAAGCTTGATGATTTGATAAAAGAGGAGGTTAGTGGCCTTCAAGAGTTGGTTGATGTGATTCACTCTAAACACAAGCAATATGCTGACGAGACTCAAACTTGCATCAATAGCCATTCACTTGACCAGTTAGAGATCAAACGGCTCAATGGTATTGTTTCTTTCCCCATAAACATGTGCAGATATTATTTTGAACTTGCTTTTGTTTTAATTTAATAGCATTTCAAATGTGTATCTTTCTATTACATTTGAAGGAAAGCTGGAAGAGATTATTGCTGAACTAGAAGAAAGTAGAAGAAAAATAATCAATTTCAGAATGGAAAGGGATGGATTTTCTGGAATGCGGGTCCCAATACCTGTTCCTCTTATAGTTCCTACAACTAATGGTACAGTGTCTCCTGAAAAAACTGCTGATAGGTCAAAGAGACTAAGAGAACTAAAAGAATCTATTGACGAAGTGAAGGTTTTCATCAATTGGCTCAATTTCCCCCGCTCTTGTCCTTTTGCACATAAAGAATGTTGAGTTAATTCTTATGTAGGTATTGGCTGAGGATCGACTTACTGAACTTCAAGATGCACAAGAAGAAAATCTAATTTTATCAAAGCAACTAGATCATCTTCAGGTCCTTCAGCTTTCACCTCTGCATACGTTTAATTTATATGACTGTAATCAATCTTACTGCCAGCGTTATCAAATGGCGGCCATGGCAGAATGGCGTGGGCTATTACTGTCAAACCACCATACTAAATTTGTGAAGGATGGCGGTTATGTCGGCGCTATAAGCCGCCATGGAGGGATTTTGACCTGCCGCCATTTACCGCCATCCGCTTGAATAACACTGCGTACTGCTGAAAATTTTGTTTATTAAGATGAATTGAAGAAATACTTCTTTTCTTATTGTTGCTCAATATATTTGCTTAACTAATCAATTTGTTATATATATATTTCTTTTTTTCGGGATAGAATGAGCTGAAGGAGGAAAAGTATGTATATGCTTCCCGTCCTTACTCCTTGCTGAACGATCAGTTTCAACACTGGAATGCCGAGGCAGAGCGTTATAGGACATTGACTGAATCTTTGCAAGTAAGCTGTTTCCTATTATTAATTATAGGATCTGTTAGAATAGGGTGTTTGCTAAAATCAAAGTTTGTAGGCTGAAAGACCTTTTATCCTAAGAAGGGAGAAAGACTTGACTGTGAAAACAGAGAACATAGATGCAACAAGGAATGGCATAGACAATTCTGACTCAAAGGTTGAAGAACTGCAGAATCAACTGGAAAGGTGTGTTATAGAGAAGAACGAGTTGGAGGTAAAAATGGAAGAAACCATGCAAGATTCAGGTGGGAATCTATACTGCACTGATTTATTACTGCTGTGAATGGTTTTATCATAAGTGATATATAGAGTCCTGTGTCTTTCAGGAAGAAAAGACATCAAAGAAGAATTTCAGGTGATGGCTTCGGCTTTGTCTAAAGAAATGGAAATGATGGAGAACCAGGTGAACAGGTGGAATGAAACAGCTGAAGACGCCTCTTTTTTGCGTGAAAAGTCCCTATCTCTTAGTGCCTTGGTAGACTTAAAGGTTGGCTTCGTGCTATTCCATAGTAACTTTGGTTATTCTTTTCTTTCCCTTTTAAAGAATCATAGATCTGCATCCATTATAACTTTAGTTATTATTTTCTTTCCCTTTTAAAAGAATCATAGATCTGCATCTTGTTTCTTAGGCGAAAATACTAAGTGTTCCTTTGGTTGGTATTCGGAGCTTTTGTGAAAAATTTAAAGACATCTTGATAGGATTAAGTGATGAAATGTAAATTTACAACCTTAGGTTTGTTCTAATTTTGTGCTAACTGGCCTTATGCTTCTACTCAGGAATTAAAGGTAAGCCCCTCCTATGAACTTGGAAAAAGAAAGATGACATTTAATTTATGTCAATCTAGTGAGTATTTCGACTGTTGTGGATGTCTCTTATCAAACTTCCGTATTCATCAAAAGAAGTTTTGTTGATATCTTGTGTCTCATTCATCTTATCTATATCAGCTATTATATCATTGTTAGATAAAAAGTGCATTTTACAAAATCAATGATAAATAAAAAGTTGTCAAGTCCTTGTTTAAAAGATGCAAATATTTATTTAAAAACTAAAAAAATAACATAAATACTTATAAATGATAAAGATAAGAATCATATATAATATAAAATATTTAGTTGATGTGATAAGATATATTTATACCTTAATATATCTAATGCAATTATCTTTCAGAACGAAATAATAAAAACTTCCAAGTTTAGTATGTTAAAAGAAAGGGAAAAGTTTAGACTGAAATAGGAATATCTTATCCTTATATGTATATCTATATACATATGTGTGTGTGTGTGTGTGTGTATATATATATATATATATATATTATTTGTTGTCTTTGCTGGTAAATTTATCATTAATTCCCACTTGAATGACTTATTCTTTTTGGCAGGCCACTGAAATGAAGAATTTGGCCGATGAATGTGCTCAGCAGATATGGGAGATCAAGTCATTAAAGAACATTGTATTTTTTGGTTTCTCATCCTATCTTCTATGTTCTTATGGTACAAAAACCATGATTATTGAGTTTTTAGAAATTAATGTGCAGAACGAGAAAATGGAGAAAGACAAACAAGAGCTTGAAATTTTCTTGGATATGTTGGGTCAGCAAATTTATGATAACAGGTAGTGTTATATATTGTTGATAGGGAGTTGATTAAGAAATAAGAGTCAATTCAAGAAACACATTGTATTTGTTACGCACATGTATATGTTGATGTGTATATTTATATTTGTGTGTCCTAAGATAAACAGCATAATCTCTCTATGCCATATTTTATATTAATATTCTGTAGTTATGTATTTAATTTGAGGAAGGGAGTTGGTAGAGATTAAAGAATCGGAACGTAGAGCTCACATGCAAGCTGAAACTTTGCGGAAGGCTCTAGAGGAACATAGCTTGGAATTAAGAGTGAAAGCCGCTTATGAAGCCGAGGCAGCTTGCCAGCAGAGGCTATCTGTTGCTGAAGCCGAAATGGCTGAACTAAGGGCCGAATTAGATGCTTCTGATAGGTTACTATTCTTATTCGTCTTTCTTTTAGTTTGGGTGGGAAAAATGTTATATAATCGTCAAGGTTTCTGGATTACTTTCAAACTTAAAATAGTCTTTGCTAATTTTTCTCGATCTTGTGTTTGAGAAGTATTCTCACCCATTTTCATATCTGCAGAGATGTACTAGAGCTCAAGGAAGCCATTAAGATTAAAGAAGCAGAGGCTGATTCCTATATATCTGAAATCGAGGTGCAAATGTTTGCCATTTTAGGAGATTACAGTCAATGCTTATTCATTAGCTTCATCTATAACCATCTTTTTATACCTAGTAGCATCTTTATGGCCTTCTACTAACTGTGTAAAGTCTACCACAGACAATTGGTCAAGCTTATGAGGACATGCAGACTCAGAATCAGCATTTGATGCAGCAAGTGACAGAAAGAGACGAATATAATATTAAGGTCTTGATTTTGACTATTGTCTAATGTCTTTAAAAAAAAAAAAATAAAAAAAAAATCTTTTATGCTATTGTTTTTATCAAGTAGTATCACCTCATTATGATTTGTTTATATAATTAATTTTGCAGCTGGTTTCTGATAGTGTGAAAGCAAAACAGTCGCAAAACATTTTGCTGTCTGAAAAACAAGTATTGGCAAAGCAACTTCAACAGCTCAATGAATCGCTCGAGTCATTAAAGTCCAGAATAACTAAAAGCGAGGAGCAGGTATATTGGTTAATCTTCATTTTTGTAAATTAAAAATCAAGTTTTATATCGAATGTTTGTTTCGAACCAAAATGTGACCTGCAGATGAAATCATTCCACCAAGAAGCTTTAAGTTCTATTCAAGAAGATAGACACATAGCGGTGAAACTTGAAGCTGCAAAGTGGGAATTAGCAGATGCAGAAAAAGAACTGAAGATGCTGAAATCCTCCTTATTATCGTACGAGAAGGAACTTGAACAGATACAGCGGAAAGTGGATGATATTCAGAAAGAACTAGAAAATGAAAGGTAAAGTCAATTATCATTATTGTGTGTTCTAACCTGTTATAATCACAGATAAGCCAGGGCTTGCCCCAAAATTTTCTTAACCGTTTCTATTGCATTTGTTTACCGTCTTTTTGTGTTGTATAAAACTGGCTGTAGCAATGGCCACGACGAGAAACACAAACACGACACGATTAGAAACCACAATTATATAGACAAACGACACAACACGTCACGGCATGACCTAAAACACGGCACAAAAAACACAATAAAAATTTTAGTTAAATTTGGATTTGCTATTATTATGATGAAATAAAATAGATAATACGAAAACAAAATAGTGAAACATAAACACGATACGATAGCACAATTCACCACCCCTGCATGAAACTTGAATTATGGGCATTTAACTTCTACTTATTGATTTTGTGATGCCTTCACAACCATCTCATATGATTCTCTGGGGAAATTTTGATTTATGTTTGAGACCCTTTAATTATGTGCAACACATATACAGATCTGAGCGGAAAAGGCTTGATGAAGAACTAATGGAGTTGAATAGAACAGTTGAGGAGTTTACATCGGCAACAGGGGAGGCTGCAATGCAGAAACTTCAGGAAGAGATTAAAGATTGCAAAGCTATACTCAAGTGTGGAGTGTGCTTTGATCGACCTAAAGAGGTAAAGAAAACTATAGCTTTTGCTTCTTGAAAATTTTAAATTGGTATCTGATTCTTTCTTGAGAAAGCTTTCAGAAGTTCATCTATCCTTTTTTTTTTTTTTTTCATTTTCTTAATCTTTAGCTTCGGTTTTATTTGTAAAAAACCTGTGTTAAGTTAACCTTTTGCCATTGTACAAGTTGACCCTTAAGTCCCTTTGTTAGCATATCAAATATGGTAACCTGTTTTGTTTCTATCTCTACTGCATAACATTTGTCACATACACACTCAACTATGTTGGTCGTCTGTATATAGAACTTACAATTTCTTCCTTGACATAAGTTTGTATTTTAGAAGCTGAACCCGATTGAGGGTAATTTAAGTTACAAAAATACATATCACAAGGGGGTGGAATACTTTGGAGCGTACACATGTCCATTTAAAAGAAAATTAGTCATACTTTTTTTGTGTTCAAGCTATACATCAGTCTACTTCTCGTGATGCCCCTATTATTATCATCATGCGGTAACCATGTTTATTGCTTTGTAGTATAGTAGTAAAGGTAAATGCAGGAAACGGTTGTCAATTCATTGTTTTGAAAAAATGTGAGTATATTGACAAATTGAAGCTCGATTTTAATGCTTTCAGGTTGTGATTGTGAAATGCTTCCATCTATTCTGCAATCAATGCATCCAGAGGAATCTCGAAATCCGCCACCGCAAGTGTCCTGCTTGTGGGTCCGCGTTCGGGCAGAATGACGTTCGATTTGTAAAGATCTGAGGGTTTTTTTTAGCTTTTTCATGTATGGAATTTGGTTTAAAGGTAGCTAAATATATTTCTGTTTGTGTCAAGGTTTATGTAACTTTATCCTTTTGGTACCTAAGTTTTATTGTTTGAGCCTTTTAGTGAGAACTGAGGATGTATGGTGCATCAGAATCTTGTGAAAGTGTGCGTTGTGATCAACACAAGATTCTTTATAATTTTAGGATTAGGTTTAGTTTTTACTAATCTCTGCTATAACACGGCACTGTTCCCATCTCATTCAACTGCATATTTTATGGCCATTGTATAAAAAAACTACATTCTGCCTTCCAAGTGGAAATTTTAAATTTTTTCTTATAATATAATAATTGTATGTGATAATCATTTCAACTGTAAAGTATATTTTAATATATCAGTAATGTGAACACATGGTGAGATTTATTTATTTATTTATTTATTTTGGTTGATTCATATCTTTGAAGTTATGCAATAAAATGAAGAATAACATAAGTTCTTTAATTAAAATAGAATAATGTAAATTTTGTAATATAAATGGATTGATATGTCTCGACGTAAAATAGAAGGAAGAAAAAAATGTGTATGGTATAAATAAAGCTATAGGTGTAAAAGTTCTTTTATTTTTTTCATTGTGGGATATAATTTATATTTGTTGATTCGTATCATAGAGGTCATAAAATAAAACGAGTTCTTAGATTGGGGTATAATACAAAAGAGTAATGTTGCTCTCCTACCCGTAGTGGACATATGTTAATATGTCCACCGTTTATGTGGTATGCATACATTAGTGATGTATTTTTTTGTACATATTAACATCACCAATGTGTGCATGCCACATATGTGATGGACATATTTACATGTGTTCATCATCAAATACTACAAATATGGTGGACATATTTACATGTGTCATCATCAAATACTAGAAATTGTGTCTAATGTAAATAAAGTTGAAGATTTTATTTATTGTTGATGTTAGAAGAGATGTCTTATCTTATTTCTCTTGGCACATTTTTTTTTTGTCTCACGATAATTAATTAATTTCAAGGACACTATCATTTCATTTTGTTTATCTTGTTAAATACTCACTTTTTTCTATTCCCATTTAATTTCAAATCTTTATCCTCTTATAGACAATACACATTGTTTGGAGCATTTACTAAGCTTTCTTTCATTTTCTCGTCATTTGTCGGTTGTAACCTTGCATTGTCTCTACTACCACATTAAATTCTCATATTGCGTTGTACAATTTATGATATGTAAGAATTAAAAAAAACTCAATAGTACTCCTAATGCTTCTCACACTAATGAGTAGAAACAGAAAAACGATTAAATAGATTGAATATTTACAAGAACTCTAAATTAAAATTACTAATACATGCTCAATTGATCTTCGATGCTCAGTAATAAGATATTTCATGTACACAATCACGTTTGAATTGACGTGGTTGGACAGGTGGCATGTATTTGATATTCAAACTTTGAATTCAACACCTCATATGAAGGTCGAAACATTGCACAATCATAGAAAATTTGAGCAGCTTGATCAAATAATGGAAGTGGCAACTCACCAAGCGAGAGCAAAAACAAAAATCTACTCTTAGACTGGGTTATCTTTACTCGACCAGAATGGGAGGACAAGATGATATGAGATATCATACTTGGTCGACTTGGCCAGAGAAACAACATGACTGCACCGGGTGAACCAACAGTTGACTAGAGACCGAGGGAACTACAAGTCTAAGAGTCCTTAGGTCGACAAGGACGTCGCGAATCTAAAGAGCATGGATATGTCGAGCTAGGGTCCACGAGTTGTCTAGTTGAAACTCGACCTAAAGGCATCACCAGTCGATATATCGACCATATGAGCAGAACATACGAGCTCAGCACAGGCAACACTCCATCTCGAGGTAATCTTGGATGTCGCACTATTAGACCGTACAATATAAAAGACTAATAGATAAGAAGGAATACTAAGTGTAACACCCCGCCTACTTATTCTAGAAATAATAAAAATCAGAGTAAAATTTTTGCTTTTTATTTTCAAAAAACTCTTTAACTTTATTTTCGAAAATACTCATACTAACTCGCGGGATGCTACTAACTTAAACTCTTTCTCATGCAGACGTAAATAAATACATGCAACCTAATCAAATCCGTTATATAAAGGTACCACGAAGATAAAGGCATTAAACATGCATAAGTCTGAAATATCTCATAATACTTACTAAGTTTGAAATGCGGAAGGTATCATACTGAATGCACACATAATAATAATAATAATACATGTTCATATGAATGACATGTAAAATGTGTTACAAAAAGTCTGCTCATGACCACGCGCCACTGATGCTCACGCGCCACGCGCCGCTCCGCCACCTGAAAAACGTAATGGGGGCGTGAGCAAAACCACTATGCTCCGCAAAGACCAATACTTAATTATACAACATTGTTAATTTCAATATCATGACTTTAGTATATAAGTACTGAACTGAACTGAAACTGTAACTGGGCTAACTGAAAATAACTGAACTTAACTGATCTTAACTGAACTTAACTGAGCTTAACGGAACTGGACTCGACTGAACTCGGCTTAAATCCGCTCGGCACAAGGCTGCTAGATCATGTGCACACTCTGATGGGTCATTTGTTAGAGTAGGATACCCGGCGTTCCAATCGGATTGGACGTATTCTACTTGTAAATATAATCTATTGGAATTTTATTATTAATAAGGCATTACTTTATCTTACGAGTAAGCTTTTATCCTATAATTGTACTTAAGATAAAATCCCTAGATCACTTATGGTTATAAGGTATGGTTGCGCATAGAGATGGTGATCATGGAACGTACTTTGAAAGCTATGATCTTAAATACAGTTCCAAGTCGTAGGATGTTTCGAAATGGGATATCGAATAATCTGGAAAAGACTTGCACATATGATGTATGCTTGTTGGACAAGAATGTTGCATTCCATCAACATTAGCGTGGGACGCAAGTACATATATGTGAGTGCTTGTTAGAGAACAAGTTCACTGAATATGACCGTATGAAAATTCTTAATGAAAGATTTTTCTTGTCGAATAAGAATTTTCATGTTACAATAGTACATAAGTAATCCTTAGACTTGAGACACGATGGTAACTTTGTACATATTATATTCTACTTTGATTTATCCTTTTGGTTGCTAGCACAATCGTATAAAGGGATATTTTGGGTATTATATTAATATGTATGGAAGTTTGTTAGTGGCCAACAAAGGATTCGGCACTTACGAAGATAAGTGAATTTCCTATGTGTTTCATAGTTAGTAATTCAAAGTCCTTGACCAAGGCGGGATGAATAGGGATTCATAAACGAATTACTAAACTTGAAATGGAATCATAGTTATTAAATCAATTTGGGTTCCGACAAAATCATACCCAAGATTTAATCGGGAAATTGGATGTCGAAAGGATTTTACATGTATGGACTTGTAATAGAAATAGGTTTACTCGCTATTCACTT